ATTTATAATTTTGACTCATATTTTGTCTACTTCCTCACTTTTCTCTCTCTTCAATTATAATAAATATTATTTAATTATTATATATAAATAAATATAATTATCATAATACTACTATAATATTAAAAACAATAAAATAATCTTAAATTTTTTATTTTTAATATAATAATATAAGTTATTGACATAATACGATAAAATATTGTATTAAATTTAAAATAAAATAACAATATATATATATATATATATATATATATATATAATTTTTTATATAACTGTAGTACTTCATCGATCATAGATAAATTTATAAAAATATAATTTATAATTTTTCATAGCTTATGATAGAATACTTAAAAAAAAGTAATATGTGTATCTACATATAAAATTGTTTTATTATCAATTGAATGAATATTTTTATATTGTATTAAAATCTTAAATTGTTATATTATAAATAAATACTTTTAATATTTTTCTGTGTTAATTTTATAGTAGTATTGTAATAATTATATTTATTTATATTGTGATATTGAATAATATGAACAACAAAGAAATTTAGAATATATATATATATATATATATATATAAACAAACTTTTATCTTCAATTTTAAATTGTAAAACTGATATCTAATTTATTACTTTTATGTTAACTCTTATTTTATCCACTTTCTTATTTTTTCTTTTTTTCTAATTATAATAAATATTATTTAATTATCATACATATGAATATGATTATTAAAATACTACTATAATAATGGAAAAGAGGTAACCAGTGATATAAGTAACATATTCAAAAGAATATATTAGTAAATTCAAAATTTTGGTCATTGTGAAATCTCTGCTGCACCCATGGATTAACCAGGTGAACAGAGTAGCATATTTGATGACAAGAGTTTTAGATTGAAGAATGACTCAATCCCTAACTGACAGATTCAATGATGAGAGTTTTAGATTTAAGAATCGAATAATTCTTAACTATAAATATTAATTCGAATATATTGAACATCTTAGTCTGAGTATGCTGGGTATGTCTTTGCCTAGTGGATTGGAGAATCAATAGAGCTCATGGTTGATCTTGCAAATACTGATCCGCTTCTTCCCCTTTTTCATTGTATTAAACCGAACGCTAGCCTATTATATACATGAGAATCTGACGAGCCATTGGTCCATGCTCTAAGCTTGAACAAGGGCTTTCTCTTTGCTTGAGTGGCTTGAAGCTACAAATTGGAATGGAAAGTGGATGTTCCACATAGGTTGGAGGTGAGAATCGATATTAGAAGATTTTAAATGTTGCAAACGCAATATTTAAATTTATTAATCGATGCGTTGTACATTATTTTTTTCATGATAAACTGATGTAAAAAGTGTACACATTCTATATGGGTTGGAGGAGATAAGCGCTCTAGATAGTTCAAATAAGAATTTTTACATCGATTTGACGTAAGAACTATTCTTGAAAGTTTTTAGGTAGTCAAAATTGAGCTTTTGAAAAGATACTTTACCGTTTGTGTGTGAAGAAGAGGAACAACAGGTTCTTGGCTTTGTTGGAGGTCTTTCCTTTTCCGATCATATCTCAATGTGTTTTTTGTTATACAAATTGAAATCCAGTTTTGATTGATAAGGCGGTGCATATGATTCAAAAGAAATTGTGGAGGAAGCTACGAAGGAGAACGAAGAAAGACTACATACTGAATTCCAATTTTGACATTAGCAACAACAACTTTCTTTTTCTCCAAAAACAAGTTGTCGTAATCAAATTGTAGAATAAATAAACAATATCATTGTCGAGAATAGGATAAGCAATGCTCTAGTAGCAAAATGCGAGTTGGTGGAGGGGCTATTAAGACCAACCTTCTTAGTCAAGAGGTCAAAGATCTCGTTAAAGAAAGGATTGGTTAACGTGGTCATGAAACAATTTTTTTTACAAGTTTACCCTTCAACCAACTGGCAAAATTGATTCTATACCAAGTTTGGCTATTTTTTCAACACTTAATCTTAGCCATTACTTTACTACTAAATTATATCAACGGTTGCTAAGAATTCAGCTTTTGATTTTAAAGAAGCATTACTTTTGTTAAGCTATTACTTATTACAAATTTTCTTGAAGTAGAGATGACTTTTGAAGAAGATTGACTCTGTTATTTGAAAACCTAAACGTGATTTTTCTTAGCCAAACAAATATGTCTCATCTAGCTGTTATGACATAGCCTATTGCTCCGTAACTCTAATAAGCTATCATACTCTACTATTTTAATAAAATCATTGGTGGAGACTAGCATGAGTTAGCAAGATAAGTGACTCATGAGTGAATAACTATTTTTAAACCGTTGGATGTATTTTAAAATCTATTTTTAAACAGTTTAGATCTTTTACCTATAACTTAATAATACAAGTTTATGCATATTTATCATTTTATCTTTCAGAAAAATTTTCAAAATTTCTCTTTGGACCTTGACAACCTTTTATTTTATATCTTAAAAACCTATTATGTCTTGTCTTCAAAACTTTGTGCGTTGTATTTTTCTCTCTTTACCTTTGTGTATCTTGTATCTTCTAACCTTATTTTAATAAAAAAATAAAAAAATAACTTTTGAAATAATCAGTTCTTTTGGTTCGAATCCCTAGTTTCACGTGAATCAGAGGAGAATTGTGGCCAAGGCATCAAATTGGGCTGAATAAAAATCCCCATATGAAACAATTGAATTGGAAGGAGATGTTGATGATGAAAAGATAAAGATTGCTTTCAGATGTTTGGCCAAATTTTATCATCCAGATGTCTATGATGGTAGAGGAACCCTTGAGGAAGGTAAAATAGCAGAAGCTAGGTTCATCAAGATTCAAGCTGCTTATGAATTGCTTATAGATGGAGAGAGAGATTCAAGCTACTTATGAATTGCTTATAGATGGGGAGAGACATAGAAAATATGATATGGATAACAGGGTCAACCCTATGAAGGCATCTCAAGTGTGGATGGATCTCCACAAACCCTATTTATGAAGTTAATAATTTTTAGAATTAAGACTTTTACATTCACTATTACAATCTCAATTCATCATTAAAATGAGATTTTGTATTGATATATTATTCAATGCCCTTTTAGATCTTTCTCATGTTCTCCTTATATAATAGTCATTTTATATTGCACAAATTCTGCAACTTTCGCTTAAGCTGCATTTTTTCGCTTAAGCTAAAATTATAGACAAAAAAATTATTCACTTGGAGGTAATTAGCTTAAGCTTGAAATAAATCGCTTAAGCCGTGAAATATAGTTCAATAACAACTTGAGCGGTGAATATTAGCTTAAACGAATATCAAGGTAAATAAACTCTTCTATTATAACCAATATAGCTTAAGAAAAATTACTACGACTTAAGCAAAATATGAAATATGTCTTTCAATTATCCCCTCTTTCTCTCTCTATTCTTGAAACTTGAACAGTTCAACGAGCACTTGCATCTTGTTAAGAATCTTGAAGTTGATGCATAAAACTTACTATAAGAGCACCTGAAACCAATAGAAAGAGAGTTGACAACAAAGACTAAATTTTAACTTCTTAACATTTTAGGCTATAAATCCAAACAAGAACCTTTATATGAATTTACAAACTATATTTTGAAATTAATATGTATCAAAAGTCGTCATTAGTAATTATATAAAAAATTTATCATGTGAAAGAAAAAGAGCTCAGTCAAGGTCTCTATTTAATAATATATATGAAAAATTTACTATATAAAAAATTAATATGGACAATAGAAACTATATGATAACTTCTTATTTCATATTTAATAATATATATGAAAATTTTATCATATGAGGTATGCAAATTATGAAAAAATAATTAGTCTAAGAGTCAAGACATGAGTAAAGGATGAACAATGAAAATTATAATATGTAGAAATCAAGCTATTAAAGAAGTCCTTAAAAGTATTTGAATTTGTTAAGCAAATTCCTGCAATGACAGACATTATTGTTGAAAATTTTGTTAAGGTCATTTGTAAGAGAATGCAAATTTTAATGTCACAAGTATTTTTTGTATGATAAAAAGTAATATTTAAAGTATATAGTTTAATTAATTACTTAATTAATATATATTTTTTATGTTAAGACTTTTTGTATGATAAAAAGTAATATTTAATATATATTTTTTTTGTGAAATTTTAACAATAATTTTCAAGAAATTTTATTTAAAGAAACAAAATTTTTAGTAATAGTTGCTAACGAAAGACATAAACGTAGATGGTAGTTAGTAATAATTTCTTATAGTAGTAGTATTAATAAAAAATGATGAGTATATGAAAAGTTTAAAAAAAATTTAAAACATCTAAAGTAACAATTTTATATATTAAAATGAAATTATTTTTCATAAAAAAGATGAATTGAAAAAAAAATCACTTTTTTTTATATCACCTTTCACGTCTCACTTCTTTTTTACAACTAAGAAATAGATTCATTCAACTGAAAAAGAGTTTAATTAATCCAAGTCTAAAAGTCAATCCTAGGAGGTAATTTCTCAATCCATATGCTATCTACATAAGCAGAAGTCAACGTTGCTAAGTAATCGGCTGTCGTATTACATGGTCACCTTGCATGAATTTGGTTAAGGTCCCTGCGTTTGCTTGCTATGACCTCACAGTCTTGTAGTACGAGATGAAATCAGACACAGCTTCATTTTTCACACTCCATGCTTGGATAAAGTTAAGACAGTTGCCACGAGTTTGAATTGGCGTTTAATTCATCCTAGTGTGAATTTATTTTAACACTACATGTTTGATTTTGCATTAAAATATATATATTCTCACATTTACGTTAATGTTGTTAATTGTAGTTTATGTGTTAAATTTATATTTACAGGTTTCAGATCTATAACTTATACGTTAAAACGTTGTTATCATGATTTTAGTGAATATATGACGTAAGAATGCTTAAATTTAATCAGGAGAGGAATAATTGTTTGGACCAACTAAACTGCCTCCTTTCCATTCGTAATATTTCGTGCTAAAGTTCATCGTACTAAAAAGCATTTCCACAACATCTCACTTAAAATTAAATTATTACAACTGACATTTTTATAGTTTTTATTTTCATTGAACAAACGACCTGTGCGTATGATACACAATATGCAACTCCACATTTCAACATCAAAATCAAAAGAAAAGGGAGGCTAGTTGTCCTACCAAACAAAAATCGCTTAAAACCAGGTCCTAGGCTGAAACGGCCAAATAGTCAGAATAAAAAGAAAATGATGCACAATCATAGCTTGTAAAGTTAGTAGACCCCCTGAATTTCTTTTTGGAATTGGTAGTAGAATGCACTGCCCTTTTTAGCAGAATGGAGGTAAGGCAGGGAGAAGGTTAAAGGGACCCAAAAGCAACTTCATTATTAATGCACATTTGAAGCCAATATTACTTTGGATGCTTTAAACGTTATCACTCTAATGCCAACCAAATAAGAAGGGACTAAATTAGCTCAACGTTTGGAGGAATGGAGGTAAGAAGGCAGGAAGAAGGGAAGAGCTAGTCAAGCGACTATAATTTGGATGTACAAATTGGAAATGGACCAAAAAGGACACTGATGGATGGGGAAGCGAAAAGCACACTTTCCTGCAGACAACAATCTTTACACACCTCTCTCAAGCCACTCCTATTGAAAGCAAATTGTCAACTCAAACGCCACTATCATCACATCAAATGCCAAAACCATCCAACTGCAAACTCTCTTTAGTCGACCCTGAAACATCAATTTCAGCTCCGTGTGACTTTTTTAGCTTTGCCACTAGGACCCACATGTTAGCAAGTTCATTTTCCAGGTATGCTTCTCTTTGCTTTGACTCCTCAATCTTTCTTTGAAGCTCGGCCTCTTTCTGATCTCTCTCTAAAAGGGCAGATTCATACGAAAGTTCCCGTTCTTTGATTAAGGCTAATTCTCTCTTGATATCAGCATTTGATCCACCCTGATCATTTCGTCTAAGTCTAACATGACTTTCTCTTCGCCCATTTTGGACTGTGCCACTAGTTCTACGTTGAGTGGGTGAATTCTTGGATGCTGCTAGCTCAGAAGTCAGTCTCTCATTCTGATTCATGAGTTTGGCAACTTCTTCTGACAGTGCCTTAAGCTCAACAGCAGCAGCTGAAGCTAGCCCTTTAGCATATGAACTCTCTTCTGCCAGTTTCTGATTTCTAAATTCTAGCTGTTCCTTTGATTCTGTCAGTTCTGCCACCCTCTGCTTCAGCTCTTCTATCTCACTTACCTAATTAAGAAGTGCACAAGATTGGTGGGAACGATGATTACACACAAAAACAAAATACTTGATGCCATTTGAATATCATACCTTCGACTAAATGCAGAATAAAAGGAAGGTAGAAACAATCAATAAGTTAATAGACATTTCTTGTCTCATAGGAATATTTGTAGATACTAGTTTTCGCTTTTCAGTTTGTAAAATTTTAAATTTAATCACTGTTTAAAAGCTTTACCTCGAACTAAAAGCTCTTAAGAATGGTAGAATATAGAACACAAACCCAACAAGGAGTTAAGAGATATAAACTAATCTCAGGTTGTTACAATCATCATTTTCAATTCTCTTATGTTAATCATTGGAAGATTTAATAGCTATGACTTGCTTCTCTTGCCTCTCTTAATAAGAGTGTGCTCTCACAGTCTCGCTTGAAATAAATCTTGGAACAGTGATAATAAAGTTCAAGCAAGTAGTTTGCAATAAGCCAATAAGTACTATATCATAAACAGTTTGCATTTAAGGAAGTCTTTTAAGGGGAATTGCTGGAAAAATAAGTAACCACAATCACTCCTAGAAAGGAATGCAAGATAAAGAACTGTCATAGCAGCCAACAAAGATTGCAAAAGGTAAAAGATTTACCTGTGCTTGCAAATGAATCCCTTCATTGGTATTGTTTATTGTAACATTCCCCTTGTCAAGATGAGGTTCACCATGGTAGTCTTTAGTTACAGAGAAATGTGAACGATTGACTACAGGGCTTAAGTTTATCAATTCTAATGCATCTGCAAGTTGCTGTTTCAGAGAGGAAATTGTTTCTTGCTGGTTTTCACATTCACGAATCTGATAATGCCAAATTACTTGCTTAGCTAATAACATGACAAAGAGAAGAATAATAGAAATTTCATAAAAAGTTCAAGCTAGATTTTTCACCTTCTGACTAAGCTGTTCTTGAATTATTCGGTTGTCTGCTGCTTTGACCTGAACTAGGGCAATAATGTGCATTAGTTAATACTGGGCTAATAAAAAAATAACTCTCAGCAAGGCCACGTGTACATGCAATGATAGCAATTTTAGCAGTTGAATTGTCTATGCAACATGCACTGTCTTGCATTATCAAAAGCCTGGCTTTCAAAATATCAATTATATTAAATTATTGACACAATTACAACCTATTTTTGGTCTGATTCGTACAATGATACAATTGAATTTAAGAACTAATAAACTGGCTTTGACTTCCCACATGTTCCACAAAAATACTACTCAGTGCTACTTTTCAATTCAAATCCATCTAGATCTGGACTTCCTGTCTCAGGCAATGATAAGTTGGAAAACATTAGCAAAGTGAAAATAATTGTCACCTCAAGGTCAAAGGATTTCTCATTTAATTGTGCCATCAGCTCAGAAACAGTCTGGTGCACAAAACAGACAGTATTAGGTTGGACTACAAATAAGTGAAAGAAAGCAACAATGATGTCTGGAGAGCATACCTGTGATACTCCTGACTGTTCTGTCTTATCTGAAGCGATAAAAGAATTTGAAATTTGCTTTTCCAGAAAATCTATTTGTTCACTCTTCACCTTAATTTCATCTTTCAACCTTTTCATCTCCACCTTGGTATGAATTAAACACAAAACTTTCAGGCATAACAATCAGAGTTGTAATTCTAATCACACAGACACACATCTGTACCTATATAGACCAAAAAGGAGATAGTAACCTACATGAATCTGAGCATTCTGAGGATTTCCTGTTGCTTCCTCAGACAGCCTCTTCAAAGCACTTGAATGAAGTGCCACTTCTCCAGATAAAATCTTGTGCTGCTCCCTCAGAAGATCAATCTGATCAACTGACTTCATACTTGTCTATCAAATAAACACAAGAGTGATATCTAATAAGGTAAAAATATAGATGTCCAAATAATATACAGTCATCACACATCTTTGGCAAAATCTTAGGGGCCACATCTCCATCATATTTCTCCATTTTAATATAAAACAGATATTTTCCCACAATAACAGTGTTTTGATAGATATTTCTCAAACTGAAAGTAACCCATGGCTACTCTTTTAGGTCTGAACACTTGACACTTTAACTGACATGTAAATGATCACCAGAAGAAAAAGTAATAATATTTGAAAACAAAAGGAGTTAAAAACTGAGCCAAATAAAATAAACAATGTTGGACATTGAAAGAAACTTCTCTGGTAAGACAAGGAGACATATTCACATAACTGCACTTGAGGGAAACACTGAATACTAAAAAGATTACAAACACTAATAGTACAATTGAGGTTTTTTGTGGTGGTTTTCAAAGCATTTAAGAGACTTTCGATGTGACAATTGCTTTAGTGGGTTTATTTGCATTGTTCTATACTGGAGTGAATATGAAATTTTCCACAAGCTAGAAATTGGCATTTTGAACCAAAGTTACAGCAATAAACAGAAAACAGTAGTCAATTACATACCAAAGGAGTCTCTTGTCCCAATAAACTGTCCTCGTGAAGATATTTATCCTCTCTTGCCTCTGATACAAGATCAGCAGAGGGAGAGCTTTCTGCAGGTTGAGAATGAGAGAGTCTGGACTCCACATGATTACCACTTTCTGCCTGAGGTGTAGAAGGTGTGCTCGTAGATTTTGCTCCACTGGATTTATCACTAGCGCCTGTCAAGGCACTATCTCGTTTCTGATAAAAATAGTGAAAGACACAAGCTTAAGTAAATAGAAACTTAACTTGCAACAAATACCCAAAATGAAATGATCCACTATACAACTTGGGTTATATCAAAAGGTACCTAATCAGACCCGCAGCATGCATAAAAATGAATGTTACTAGAGTTTGATGATGACTATAAACTAGTGAAAAGTATAACTCAGTATGACAAATACCTGACCCATAAAAAGCTTGAATTTTGTGAAGTCAAATACAGTCAAATAAATTTGGGAATGATGATTAAGGTATTACCTATAGCGTAAACTTAAAAGAATTCCAAATAAAGAAATAAAATCCATTCCAATTGTTAGAGATGTAATATAAAACCATTTATTTGTCAACAAGCCATTGTTAAACCCCCCAGTTACATTGTTTTAAATACAAGGTCTAACAGTAATTCAGGTTCTCAATTCCTAAAATATTTAGAACGTAAAGAATGGGAGAACCAGACAACAAATGATCGGTCACATAAGTAGGGTTACAAAAGATGAAAGATAGAGAATCCAAATCAAACCCCATAATCAATTGATGTCTACTATACAACATGAAAGACTAGCATATTTTTCAATCATGTTATATAATTCCCTATCATCAGCAAACAATGGAGTGATGGACAACTTACACGTAACTTCAACCAATTCAGTAGTCCATGTTTCTTTGTCTTTTTCTCATCCTTAAAAGAATCATCAGCTGTTGGAGCATTTCCCTCCACATTAACATACAAATCAATATTTTCCTCATCTAAGATTAAATCTCGCCTTTTATGAGGAAGGTACGCCAGCTGCAAACATAATTGATAGTTAAAAAATGTAATGCATTGAAACATATTATGAAAAAATAATATAAACTCTGGTTTTTAGAAGAAAAAAAGAGACGAAGTTAATGCAACATGAAAAATACTTCTTCTTCCCCGAAGGAATGTCTTCGTCGAGGACCAGGTCTGTTAGGAAATCTTGTTGACTGTGATGCGTTTGTGGAGACCAAAATCAACTTAGTCAACCGCTGAATTCTGCCCAACAAAGCAGCTTTAGCTTCTTCTTCTTGTTCCAATCTGGATTGCAACTTAACTTGACCGTCTTCTAACTTTAAATAATGACAACAATTGAGAAACATTCAAAATCAGAACACAAATTTATAGAATACCGATGTGCTCAATGTGCAGCAAATTTATTTCAGAATTATGTAAACTCATTTCCAAATCCATGCATTGTGCCGTTTAGAGCTTATAAAAACTAACTAACTGTTTGCCTTTGAAATTTATTGGAGTTTCACTTCAGTACTCTCCTATTAAAAAAGGAGTATCATGCTACCCTTCATTAAAATTATAGACTTTATGTCACATGTTACAGACTAAGTAATAAAAAAGTTACAGATTTGTATCACTCAGTTCGTAACTTCTATTATTTGGTCTGTGATTTTATTAATCAATCTGTAATTTTAAAAAGTATTACAACACTCCCTTTTAGGAAGGAGTACTGCAACTGAAGTGAAACCCTACAAACATGATGCATACATACACACACTCACACATACAGATATATATATATATATATAGAGAGAGAGAGAGAGAGAGAGAGATAGTCCTAACAAACAAACAAAATATAAGGTCATGATTTATATATAACATGAACTACCTTCTGTTTTAGGAGCTCAATGTCATCATCCCCAGTATCTTTTGGTTGAACTGTCACAATACCCCTCTTTAATTGTTCCAATTCTTCCCTTAAGCATTGAATCTCTTGTTGGTATTTCTTGATAAGTGATTTCTCATCAATTATCTGCAGGTTTAATTCAATTTTTATTAGGAAAAAAAAGAAATGGAAAGGATGAGATCATCTATAAGAAAAGGCATTCCAGAAAAGAAAAACTGTAGAATTCCGTGAGATACAACTGAGATAGAGCACCAAAGTGAAATGAAGTCACAGATAACCATCTAATGCCAAAGTACACAAAAATATAATAATTGTTAAATATTTCAAGCATCTCATTTCAGTCACTAACTACTGCAAATATACAAAATCTCCCAGTTAGAGTGTATAGAAAATATCTAATAACATTTTGAGAGTATCTTAGATTGTATTTTAGATTTAGTTTCCATATATCCTTCTTATAGCATGATTTATTTCCTTATCTAGCTAGGATTATGATCTAGTATTAGTATAAATAAGGGCTATGCTTTATGATTTGTATCACATTGTAACACATAATATTATTCAAGGTCTCTATTATCTCTATTTTCTTCTTCAATATCTAAATCTGATAATTTCAACGCTCCCAATTACCTTCTAAAATCTGCAGGTTCATAGATCTTCTGCAGTCAAAAGAAAACCATTTAAAGCATTTCTTATTCTCTTCCACCAAAAATTTGAGTGACAAATATACCTCAAAATTGATTGCACATGAAGTGAGAATGAACTTTGAAATGAGGAAGGTAAGAGGTGTTTGAGGACTGCAATTGGGAATGAACTTCAGAAATTTCTATACTAATTGGTCCCTGGGAGGTAGTTTAGCATAGGTCCATGGACCGAAAGTATTTCAGAAGTAAAAAACATCCCAATAAAATCCATTAATGGTTCTTCAGCTAATATCTTATTATGAGAGTTGGTGACTGACATGGTATCAAAGCCTCTAACCAAATGGATGAAATTTGATCCTTGCTGCCCGGATTCTTTTAAATAAAAGTTGAATTTCAGAACAAGATAAGGTGGGCTTGTACATTATCCACAAGTCAAACCAAAGGACTCTTGCATGAGGGGGAATTTTAGATATAAAAACTATTCATTAGCCTTCACCTAATAGTTTTTAAGCTTCTAGGAGAGTTTGTGATTGACAAAGCAATTTAACAAATGTTTGGTTGAACTAGAGCTGACCCCTTGCAATACAAGCATATATACTTTCCACATGCTGCTGAGGTAAAAACTTGTTTGGAATGATTTTCCTAAATCCATGAAATATTTTGTGTTTCGTTTAGTAGGGGTGATTAAAGGCAGAAAGTGTTTTTTTTATGGCAGCTTTTATTAGGAGACAACTATGGTGGCAATGTCTCACTTGAACTTAGAGAATAACTTGAGATTTAAAGGACGGGATTTTGAATCTGCTTAATTGAGTTGCACTCAGCATATATGGTATTTATATATACATCAATAGATTAAATACATCTCCTGCTTGCTGAACAGCTATGAAGAATTATGTTATTTTCTGTGTAAGTTATTTCCTATTTTATTATTTTCCTAAGAATACATATCCAAGGATGCATGAACCTAATACATTAAATGTTTTCTAAGAGTACATAGAATCTAACAGCCTTCATACAGGAGAGTAACATGAAGTGGTTACTTTCTTTCAAAGGTTCTACTGCAATTCATGCTGCTATTCTATATTATCTATGTCTGAAGTTACTCTCACCTACATCATATATGGCAAGAATAATATATAACAATGGGAACTAAGGTACTTGTTCAGAAACCCTTATCCTATGTGGAGTGTAGAATGATGTTAGGAGTAAGCTCATATTCTCATACTTATTTATAACATAACAGTAACACTAATAATAGATATATGTATAAGATAAATTAGGAGTTGTATCTCATAATTTATATGTATAAGATAAATTAGGAGTGTAGAATGATGTTAGGAGTAAGCTCATATTCTCATACTTATTTATAACATAACAGTAACACTAATAATAGATATATGTATAAGATAAATTAGGAGTTGTATCTCATACTTTTATTGTTATTCAACAAAAAAGGTCTTAAAATATAACTTACCTTGTTCTGTGCTGCTCGTATTTCAATGTGCTTTGCTCGGTGAGCAAACTTCAATGTATTATGAGTCTCTTCGGTACTACTTGATGAAGGAGTTACTGTGCAGATAAGCTGTATTTAAAATGACAATATACTATTAGAATTGCTTATTTATGTTTAAGCATTTCTACCTCAATGATGTGTATACTGAAATTTATTTTTCACAAATGCATGCATGCCCAAATATCTACACAAGGGAAGCCTTACAGAAACACGTCCATGTCCACTGAGTGAAGACTGAAGTACTCTAGTCAATTTGGAATCCCTATAAGGTATGTGACTAGCTTTATCTTCAGTCAACTTTGAAATAACCTGTGCAACGATGATAATTATACTTCAACACAACTATAAACACACATTTTCATTAAATACAACATCCAGTGAATTATCTATGCTTTAAAACTACTGCACAGTAATAATTCTCAATCAATAGAATGTACTATCATTCTATCAATAACAGTAGATAACACAACTGACTTAGAATAAAAAGAAGGGCCAAAGCTTAGAAGAATATCAAAAAATGAAGATTTGTGAGCAAGTAAAGGGATTAATGGTATAAGACAAAGGACTTGAGAATTCTATTATGATATATTACATAATAATTACATGTATATATAGGAGTCTAATCTTAATATTTACAAAGTAAAATATCATAGAACATCTCCTAATAATTACAATGAATAAATGGAAATGATGAAATAAATCTATACAATAAATAGTAATAATGAGGATATATTCTCAACAAAAGGGACCTATTGTATTTAACTATGGATAAAGCCCAAGTGTTGCCCATTGAGAGGGAATATTTATGAACAAGTCCATGCAGTTCAGAGAAAAACTATCATATCCCCCATCCAAATTCAATATTTTTAGCTATGAATTATACTCAATTATTAATGCAAATATGTTTTGTAAGGTAGAATGTAGTTATCTTGTTCTTCTCTTCCCCTTCTTTCCAAGCATATCATGCCCCTTTATTTGTCCACATAACTTATTTTAAAAAATATGATGCTCCTTTTTTCCTTTTCAATTTAGTATTAGTATCTCTTTTCTACAGTTTTTTTTTAATCGAATTTTTTACATTTTAAAAAAATAAATGGAGGAAAAAGAGAGATTGTCACATCTTTTAATGAACACATGCATAATGAAGCCCTTTTGTATAATTAGTTTTCAAGTTTGGAAAATTTTACAGACTTGACATCTGGATTAATAAAGTTCATACAGCTATTTCAGAATTTGGAAAGTACAGGGAATGTCTCCATATTTTTCCCAATAACTTCGCTAATTTCGCTCTAAATACTTCTACTAAAAATTCATTTTTTAATAGAACCCAATGTCAATTGATAAGGTAGCCAACTCTGATGGGAATGGAATAAGTCTTGGTTGGTAAAACTACAACCTATTTAAATGTCACATGCAGTGGATTATTGAAATAAAGAAATTTTATAATAAAATGGAAAAACAATTATATGGTTAAGTGAGCCAGGCGGTTAAAACTTTGAATTTATGCTCAATTTGTTCCTTTTCTTTTTTTTTTTCCCCTTTAATCAAGGTCTAATAGACAATGATGGTGTTATTTGGTTTAATGCATGTATCAGAGAGTTCAAGGGTTTCTAAATTTATATGAATTTTGGTTATCATCAATTTATTTTTGAAATTTTCAAATTTTGGTGGGTTAAACAGCTAGCCCCTTCAACCCACCCACAATACCTCAGGCTGTTTTAAAAATGGGCTGCTCTTCATGACAGCAGGGCTATCCAATCTATTTGACAGTGAAAAGTAAGAAGATAAGAAATAGAAATTAAACTATGGCAACTAATTTCCTACTAGAGGATCATGTAGAAGTAAATGGAAAGAAATAAACTCTACTGGCAAATAGAGCAGAGACAATCTTTTAAGCTTGGCTAAAAATTAAGTTTTATGCCTCACAGCCAGAGCCATAACTTCAGCCAAGTGCACCATGTCTCTTCAGGGACCACTTGATCCCAAGGTTCAAACACCCTATTGGCCTCTGTTTGCATTCCACCCTATCCTCACCCTCCCCTATGTATACTGTCACCAGGTGGCAAGTGGATTTGTTATGGACCAAACAAATATTCCAAAAGTTTAAGCTATTGGGTTAAGTACAGGAATGGTTTTATCTAACATGCCTCCTCAGACAAAAACCCTTTGGGCCTTGAAGCTTGGACAATGCACAGGCCCACACCTCGCAATGAAATTTATCTTTTATTTAGAAGAATGGGGCAACAAAGATTGAACTCCAGACCACAGGGTCATAAAGGTTTGATGGTGTAAGGTGTAGACAAATAAACAGTTTTACAATGCATCTCTAATATACACTGAGAAGAAAAAGTTTGAGACCTCACAGTTCCAAGAGTTAGAAGACTTTTATTGATATAAGATCCTTCTCTCCTTCTCATGCCAGTTGTTTCAGCTTTTGAGCTCTCAGAGCCTGCTAGATCGATGAGATTCTGCAAGAAAAATATTTTAAAAATGTAAGAAATAAAACAAAAATATATAACATTTACATGAAATCATGACCCATGTTAAAGCTTAGAAATGGAGATCACATGTACAAAGCAAATGAAGTTCAACTAAAAAGATTTAGTTACCAGTTGCGACAGTGTCACTGCTTCTCCTTCACTATTCTCACCACATGGACTACTTTCTATAGTCTGCCACAAAACAGTGTGGAATTAAAAAGAATATAACAATATCATATAAATAAAAAGCAATTGAAAGAAATAGGTTATGTCCTGATGTTCCTTTTTCTTGTTCTTGAACCGCTTAAGGTTGAACACTGTTATCATTGATGGTTTAGTTGAATATAGATACAATTTAAAATTTTAATAATTACCTCCACCCCCAGCAGGTTCTTTTTATTTTAGAGGAAAAAAATAACAAGGAGCATTCTCATCAAGAAGATTTGGATGGGATGATGGAATGTTTATTCAATTGTTTCTCCATGGTAATTAATTGTTGGTTACAGGGATAAGTTACCAACTATATAGCTACATTATCGACTTATTACATTTAAGTGCTCAAAAGCAACCGTAAGATGTGAACACAAAACATTAAATATAAAAATATATAATTTCATTGACATAATGTAAGAACCATGTTGTTAATCAATTAAAACAATATGATTCATCCTTTAAGTTAATATAAACCCACCAGGGTAAATATAGTATGGCTCCTGCTGCTGAGTAGGTTGAAGTTCGTGGATCCAACATGTCTATGCTCTGTTACCAAATCAAAATTTTGTCAAGAATAAAGAAAGAGACCTATGAATCACAGACTCCTTGACGGACATGGACACTTTAACACATAAGAAATGTAGAACACCAAAATACACACACACACACACATATATATATATATATATATATATATATATATTGATGTATCTAATGAGAAAACTTTTTTGGTGAGAATGGCAAAAACAAACTTTGATGATTAGATCTCATTATGAATTATCAAAATTAAAACATATAAATCATGTGAATTTTTAGAAGTTACATTATCTTTTTAAGTGATCATTTGAATTTCCCAAATTTTATAATCATAATCATCTATGTATGATTATAAAGTTCAAATTTAAGCCTCTTATTCTCATATAAAATGGTTCCTCTCAGTAGATACACACTATATATATAATGAAACAAAAGATAAAAAATGATAATCAATTTGTATGTAGAATTGCAAAAGAACCCAATTCTTATTATCATTCACAGGACCAGCAAACAGTTTTATTTAGTTTTTATTTTATAATAACATTCCATAAATATTATATGCAACTACTTTTGGAGAATATCATATTAAAGTTGCCAAATAATACATCTGGTATTCTAATGCACAAGCATAACCTATTCCCAAAAGCAAGTAGCCAAACATAGAATATTAAGGAGATGAAGGGAACAGTTCGTTTTCTCCCCAACTCTTAATAGAAATACCTAATTTTAAAGTAAATTAGCATTATTAACTAATTACAAAAATCACAAGCAGAAAACATAACACCCTGTGTTATTATGGCACACAGACCAGTAAGATAAAATAATCCGCAAGAAAATAAACCTAGCTGGAGCTTTTACCTTCTCCAGCTGCAATAAGGGACAGTGCATGAGCAGGGGAGAGCACAACCTCTTCCTTTACTCCCTCAACATAGGTGCCCTACATATGAATCAATATACAAATGATACCAGCCTTCCTTCAAAATACTTATGTTTGTAGAACTTTGAATTCAACAACCATATGTCTCACAATTGTTAATATGCCGATACTCTGATTGTATTATACATTCTATATAAAGAATGAACAAGAAATATAGTAAAATATACAAGTCATAACCATTCAAATGACTTTGAACAGTATCTGACAAACAATTTCATTATTTATTATTCGAAACATATAGAACTTTTTGTATATAGAATTATGTTTTAGTTTTCACTATGTATGACACCACAAGATTGATTTCTTCAATACTCATCTTGGGGATATTTTAAACAGTAAAATCCAAGAATTGTTAATAATCACTTGAAATAAACTGGAGTGAATCATCATCTAGAAACCCCAATTTGCTTTTATGCATCAAATGGTTACTTGGCTCAATTGGCTGGAAAATTGCCTTCAAATAGTGCAAGCACAGAAGGAAAAGCCTTGTCTAATAAAACCTTAGTGCTTGTCATAAGCATAACTATGCTATAACAAGTTAGTAAACTTGGCAGGACAACAGTTGACATAAGTATATGCCACCTTCATCCTGCTGGATACCCAGCCTAGAGAAATGACTAAAATAACATGAAAGAACATCTAGCAACTGATCATAACTTTTTGAGCAGCAGATAACAATATTACTGTCCATCTTTGCTCTCAAGTCTAAATCTATCTCATAAAACTTTTCCATGCTAAGAACAATGCACTACACTGTCAACAAGATCAAATCTGCACTAAGTTGCCAATTATCAGTTTACTGCACGAGAATGGATCCCTCAAATGGCCTACAAATAATTGTCAGCTAATGAAGTTTGTCTTTTGATGGGTCTAATAGGAACAAAGCACAATGCTTAACGAATTACAAACTATATCATAATCATTAATCAACAAACCTTGTATGCATAAAGAAGGAAGGCCTAAAAGAACCAAACTAGCTATAGCCATTCCCAGTATAAGCAAGGTAGTTAAAATCGGAATTTTACTTTAAATCAAAAAGGGGACTGAAAACCATGAATCAAATCGTAAGATTTTACAAAATTCATGTGTATGCTTATAAATTCATATTATGCATGTAAAATAGCATAAATTAGGGGGGGCCTATAAATTAGTAAAAAGCACTTAAATAAAGTAGCACTCACAAATCATAATCCATATTTCATAAGAATGTCAAGCATTGGCATGAGTAAAAGTAGACCAGCACAGAAAATATGCAAGAACAGCAGCACTAGACTCAAACTCAGAGCAGTCACACACTGCTAGGTTTAGCTGCAGACCAGGCTGCACACACTAAGAGGACTGTTGAATTGACAATGCTCGGGTTCAAAGTTGCAAGAGGCAAATTGGGTTCGATAAAAAGGAGACATGAAAGAGGCGTCAACTGAATTAGAATTCAACAAATGAGACTTTTTGAGGAATTTTTAGAATCAAGGAGAAATCGTATAATCACAAGATTTGAGGGACTTTATGATTTAAATCGAGATTTTACAACGATTTTACTCAGCCACAATTTTACATACTATTTAAATTGGTAAGGCATCCAAAATCGTAAAATCTTACGATTTTATGATTCAAATCAGGATTTTAACTACCTTGATTACAAGGCCCAAGAATACCAACAAGAAGCTGTAAGGATCAATTGGTGCTAAATTCATCCCAGCAATAAAGTTTCAAGTCAAGTCATCACCTATATTTATTGGCAAGCTAAGTAAAATACCATGAAAAATAGAGAGCAGAGTATGTATGTTTGATTTTAGAAAAAAGGTACTGGTAAAGAACTTGAGTCTAACTCACTCTCAAAAGTTAGCTCATAAGAGGAGGATTGCCTAATTTTTATAAGGAATATTTTGACTTTATTCTTAACTAATGTAGGACATCTTAACAGGTACTAATATTGCACCAATCCATTGATACTTAAGGCTGACAAGTTAATGTATGTGCATGATTTCCATGATGCTACAGATAACTCATCTACATCATTTGATGTCTTCTATTCAAGGCATATATCCTCCAGGGTCGATCTCCATTTCAACATGGTTAATGAATTCCAAAATAAAAATAACATTTGGGCATTAACGAATCAATCACAAAAATTCAGAACAGAAAATATTTATTCTTATTTAGTAATATAAATTAGAGTAAAGATAAGAAAAGTTATGATCAGTACCTGAGCATCCTCTCTGATTCTTAAGTTCTGTCCTGCTGGATTGAGTAAGTCATTAACCACCTAAAATAAAAGGAAATGTTGAGAATAACAATCAGAAGAACAAAACAACATTAACCAAATTTCTTTTCATGCAAAATCCAGAGGGAAATAGCAACTTCTTTGGAAGACAATAACCACATGAACTAAGCTAGATAGATAGCCCACCTCATTGTAGATCTCCAAGTAGGAAACTCGAAGGAGAAACTCCCGGTTTGGAGTCTGGTATGCAAAAACGTTAGACTTTGTAATTCCTATGATAAAAAGTGCAACAATCTGACTGGTATTTGACATACCTCTTGGATAATGCTAAAAGCATCCTTCACAGCAAGAGGTATGATTCCAGGAGATCGTTGATCACCCTGCCAATGCAAACTTATGAGCAAGAGGTATGACATGAACTTAAGAGTATAGTGTCACATCAACTATCCAAATTCATAGCTGAACTCGACACTATCAGTAATTGTCAAAATAACAGATAGTATTAATTAATTTGTTATCAGACGATGAAGCATGACAAATTATTACATAGCCAAGAAGAATCGCACAAGCTTATCAATAGTATAAAGTCACATAAACAACTGATGATAAAAAAGTGATCTTGGACGCACAGCCTTAAACTTGCTCAACACACACACACACGTTACAGTTTTGAACAAAGTTTTTGAGCGTCTGCAAACAGTGCGCGTTCACACATCAATGGTTGTTAAGTTACAGCTTTGAACAATGTTTTTGAGCTTCTGCAATCAGAGATTTTGATTGAGTAAAATACTAGTTAACAAACCTAGCTGCTTCAGATTAGTGCTACATTATACTTCAAATATCCCAGTTAACATGTTAAGAATCAAAATAAATAACGATAAATTTTATGCATTTAGAAGAGGAGAAAGGAGGTCTACGATATTCTATATAACGACCTAAAATGACCAACTCAAGACAAGCAGGAACAAATTAGACAGTATAACAAATACTGAAAGTTCCACTATCTCATAAGTGGTAGTAGAACAATTATGACTTAAAATAAGACCCAAAATACTTGCTAGCACTCCAGTCACTTTTGTTATTAAGAGTACTCATGTATATATTCACACAAAATTTTATACCAATCCACAGAAAATGAGTCTGAAAATATATTCAAGAAAGAAGAGTATAATTAAAACTAGGTACCATCCAATCAACCTTGAGAACATGTAACTAGCAGATTTTTCAAAGAAAACATGGAGTAAAAAAGTAGAGGCTAGCCAGAAAGAGAAAGGGATGGACGTGTTGAAGTTATAAACATCCTGTATCTACCGGCAATCTTTAACAAGTTAAAATTAGAATGACCAATTAATATGAACATTTATGAAGTAAATAAATCAAATCATAATTATCAGAAAGAGGTTATGTTATCCTGTCATTTTATATATTTCATAAGATACCAAGGTCAAAGCTGTAGTTGCTGCTAAAACTGAAAAAAGTTCCCAGTCTATTGTGGTAGTTCACCATGGAACTCAATGTACATGTCCAGAAAAACAATCAAACTCAGCAAGAGAAACAACCATAAGATACCAATCCATCAATAAAATATCAGTATCAGAAACAAAAATGGCAAGTATCACAATGGTCAGCAATTGCTCTTTTGTGAATTAAGTGTGGTTTAAAAACCATAGGTACCATGATATTGAAAGACCTTGAAAAACAAATAAATAGGTAAATTTATAATAAACATGAAGATCAACAAGATGAAGCCAGAAAATAAATGCGGTCTCACATGCATTGTATGAGTCTTCCCACTGCTTGTTACCCCATATGCAAATACAGTACCTGTATGAAAAACAGAGAGGAATTCATATTTTAATTATTCAATATGCCAGGTATGCAAGCGAAAAAACAACCTAAAAGTTTCTAAGCCACATATTTCTCAATGCATGGTGACTTTTAATTGGAATGGTCAATTTTAAGAAGAAACAAGAGTTAAAAAATTAATAGGTTTCTATATCATGGAAAATGCATAACTACTACCCATGAGAGAAATGTGATGTGAGTCTCACAAATTTCCACAGTCTGAATCATCAAGTTACCTCAGTTCATTTCCTCTTCCTCATCAATTCTGCAAAGGTCTGAACCTACTGATTACCTTATAGTGTCCAAGACAACAACATAATGTGAACGGATTGCTATGATGTCAAATCTCAAACCTCTTGAGGTTACATTGTCATGTAACTACCATACTAAGCAAACATGAGGTTTGCAATCTTATTTCATCAACAATTATAAGAGTATTGATCAAGAAAGCCTACCTAATGCATATGATATTTATTCAAAAGGATCAAAGTTGCACAAATTGCATGACAGTCCCTCAAATTTTTCTAGAATGTCTTCAATAATGTAGTTGCAGAAATATATCTGATTTTGTCATGTTAGATAAGCAAAATCAGGCTATCTTTGACTACAAATGCATTGCTCTTATATCTTTTCATGCATCTACCAAGGTCAAAATGACAACTTTAATTTTAAATGAGAATCAGTATCCAGCTAGGAGCTGATCAGCCACATCAAGCAACACTAAATCATATTATATATACCTATTAGTTGACATAAAACTTAGATTTAGTATTATTTCAAATCATACATCCAAAATGATCAATATTCTATATATTACAGAAAATGAAAGGAAGACTTGATTAAAGCAAGAATAGATTTTGCTCTTTGAACATAGGGAATAGGTTGTAAGTTGTAAGTAGTAAGTTCAATCTGTTAATTACCATTGATGCCCTCCATAGCACCACTAACGACATGCTGAGCAGCAACATCATAGACCTGACGTGTTGTGGTTGTGGGACCAAAGACACGGTCTAGACACAAGAAAAAGTATAATACATCAATGCATAATATTGGATAAGAGGGAGAGATTATTTAATATTTGTTGAGAATGAAATGCACATGATAACTGATTTAATTTGTGATAAATGTACAATTTTACGACATTTGAAAATTGAAATTAAATAAGATCAAACATTTCCTGGAATTCCCATTACTCTAAGTTTCTGTGAGACACACATGCTTCCAAACATAAGTCCCTTTTAGTTTTTCTAATTGATCCTTCTTCCAATTTCTCACTCACTCCAAACACTGGAAAGTTCCCTCTTTAGATACTGTTTTGAAACCAAAACTCTCTATAAGGTCATATCTTTCATTTGGGCAGCTGTCTCAACAAGATTAATGCTAATGGTATGCAGAACTACAGGCACATATACTTAACAAGGGCTAATCACCAATTATTTTAATTCAGAAACAATGGTACATTTGCTTCTTCATTGTCCAGCAGCAAGCTACATTAAGAGGGAATCTTGCTTTTGGACTATTTGGTGATCCTTGGCTGGGCCTCAAAACTTTGAGCATTTTCTGATGATTAATTTCAGATTTTTAAGCAGTTGCAAGGAGGGTAGAGTTATTTGGCAGAGAGCTACATCACTGAACATCAGTACCTTTGGATAGGAAGAAAGCTCAGATCTTTAGAAGATTGAATCTTCTATAGGTCATGCTTTAGAAATAAGATATTTTATCTGGCATCTCTTGAGTGCTCAGTACATGGATTCCTTCATTGATTTACAGAGGGATGGGAGAGCCATATTGTATTAATAGTTGCTTTGTTTCTGTTTGAAGATTGGCTTTTTTATTAGTTCTGTCTGAGGTCGGTTCCTTCTAACAATAGTTTCTTTCACTAAACCCCTCCTCCCACCCTGCAGAGCCCCCAAAAAAATAAAGAAAAAGAAAAAAAAATAAAAAATAAATAAATAAATATGTGTGTGTAACGTCTGGTTTGTTTTTTAATCAATTAAATCACAACGAAAATGTATTCATTTTTTTTGCAGCTATTATCATCATCACGAGACTTTATTCTAAAAAATAAATATATAGAAATCCAATGCTTGTGACTAAGATTGTAGAAGAAGTATATGGTATGTTGTTCGTTCAACCTCAAAAGCACCATACTCGCAATATATGCTTCTATACCAAATGAACAACTACGTAAAGAACAAAATCCCAATCCATCAATGCCAATTTTGCATATCATACCGTATGCATACGCTAAGGACGGGTTATATTCATTTCGCACAATAGTTTCTCCATCTGCATACCAAGCAATCTCCTCTCCTTGACGAATTTCCCTTGGACTGTCCCACACATAGACCTCAATCAAATTAACAGGCATCTAAAGAACACAATCGCAACAATGATATACAATTCAGAAAAGGCAACACTTACTTCAGAGGCCGAAACCGGACCGTCACCGTGACATTTTCTTTGGCCCTCTGTGTATCCAAAGCTGCAGCTGCAGTTTCAGGATAAAATTGATGCGGCTTACTTCGAGCCGACGAAGATGCAGGCGAGCTCTGGCCATCAACGGACGTTTCCTGAAACTGTTTAGAAGACGACGTGGTAGAGGATGACGGCGAATTAGCACCTTTTGAACCACTCAGCCCGAATCTCTTCGTTTTCACACCTTGTTTCGATGCCATCGACACTTCCACTCAAGCCTTCAACAATCAAAACAATAAGCAAGGTTTAACGGCGTCATCTCCATTTGGAGTTAAATGCAAATTCTCGTAAATAAGTTGAGCTAACAGAAAATAAAAACGATTATCTGCGAGAAACAAACCGCGCCAACTCTGCCTACAAAGGTTGAATTGCTTTATGCATAGGGATTAGCATAAGAAGGGAAAGAAACAAAGCGAGAAAACAATAAAATAAGAATGGAATGTTGTTGACCTGAAAGGAAAGAATCAGAGACGCATTGCTGAGTAAGGGAGAAGATCGCGTTTGAAGCGAAGAGAGAGATCCACAGAGAAGGTAAAGTGTGAGTGAGACTCAGTCAGAGTTTAGCGAGTAAAGGAAAAACAGCACATCATCTTCAGACTTCAGCAGCAGTATCACATCAATAACAGTTAGAGAGAGAGAGAGGTTAGAATAGGTTATTTCCTTGCCTTGCCTTGGAAGCGATGGCGATTGGATGCCCTTCATCAACAAAAGCGAAAACCTTATTTTCAATCAAACTTTTTATTATTATGAATCATGATGATGATTATGATAATTGCAATAATAATTATAATTAATTTGGAGTTGAAAGAGAGAGAGAAAAGGGAAAGTGCATGAAATTGACGGAGGTGTGGTAAGTAGTAAGAGACTAAAGAGTCCGATAAATTGGGATAAAGAGAGAGAGGACCGTGTGGAGGGAGATGATACAAACAAGACAGAAAGACGCGAGTTGTTGTGGTGGGTCTCGTCTCGCGTAAACTTTCCACCAATCTCTCTCTGTGTCTAGCTGGATGGATTGATATGTGTAATGTAAATTGTGTAATAGTAATAACATAGTTTTGTTAAGTGCCTTTTTTAGCGCGCATATAGGCATAACCGCGGGGTTGGGGTTTCTGCCTCATTTGTCTTTCACTGTTTCACGAGAGCCGCGTGCGAGAGCAAACGGTAGGAGTTGGTGTTACTATTTACAAGTACGCCAGTCACATATGGGTCAAGGCATGGGACCTACGATAGTCACGTACCCTCTCCCTGTGTTAACAAAATTTTCATCCCTTTGGTAATAGCAAATTGGTGTGCACTTTGCATCCGTTTACCCCTCTCTACTCGTTTGATCTTAGTTGTGATTGACTACCACAACTTTTAAAGCATTTTTACAATATACTTTTTCTAATTATTCTTGTTTTCTAGCATATTTTTATCGGTTTGAAAAGTCAAAATCACGTATTTTTAAATACTTGAGAAGTTTGACTTTGGTTTTTTTTTTCAGGAAACGTATGAGGTTTTTCTTATAGTTTTTTAAAAAAATGTGAGACTAAATTTTATTTTAGAACTGAGACTATCTTTGTCATAAATATATTTTATTATCATTTAAAACATCCTCTAACGCTGAATTTATTATTTAAATGAATCGATGTGAATCTTCTATGTAAGAGTTAGCAAAAGCATCTTAACATTTCTATATTTTATAGTGAAATGTTATTTATATATTTTTTATTTGATTAATCGATTTATCGCATAGAAGGAAATCCAATTATGTAACCAAATGATTGAGATGAACATAAATAATATTAGTTTTACGATACTTTTTGTTTATTAGCAGCTTTACAATATTTTATTATATCGTATATGGACACCCTGTCCACTAAATTCTATTGCCATTGCTTTTTTAAAAAAATAACGTAGACATGAACAGTTGTAATTAAGTCAAAGGCCTCCTTAATTATGCGTAACTTAAGAAAATATTATGTCTGACTGGGCCGATTAATCTATCAGCGCGTCATAATTGAAGTTCATAAAATATAATACTTTAAAGGTAACTCCATTGATTTAAAATTAACCGAAAAGAACAAACATTTATTAAAATTTGGATTATGAAATAAATAAATATTTAAATTACATGTATAAAATAAAATCTATTGAAATCAAGTTTCAAATTTAAATATTTATTGAAAATAACATTAATACTAAAGGACATTTAAATAACATAAAGAAAGTAAATAATATAACATTTTATCTTATTTATACGGTTAAAGAAAGAAAAAGTTATACAAACTAAAAAATTGAATCATTTTGTTAGAATTAATCGCTAAACTTCCTAATTTATCATTTATTAATATTCCTTTTTAACTTTTAAACTACTCAAATAGTATTAATAATATAAAAAATTAATATAAATAAAAAAATATTAAAAATAACTGCAATTAATATCAAATTTTACCACTGACATGTTAGATTTCGCTTGCCCATACTTTAACCTTTTTTGTTTAGTCAAAAACAGGTAATTTTTGTCGATATTAAGTAACACATAAAAATACAGTTTAACATAATTAAACTTTGCATACGAATAATCACATGTTTATTCGTCTACTTGTAGTTGAAGAATTGAATTATTAGTTGGATTTGCGGAAAAAAAACCTAGGAATAATTGAATTTGCAGTTGCACAATTTAATTTGGAGTTTTTAAAAGTTACGTGTAAAGTTGTAGAAATAAAATGATAAATTATATGGAAACGGTTTTACGTATGCAAATTGTGATTAAAAATTAATATTGAATTTGAGATGTGACACTTTGGTGGTGTGAGACCTTAAGTGGACCATTCATTGGCAATGGGCATTCACTACAACTAAAGACAAATGATCACTCTTTAAATAACGCTTAAGTGGGAACTGCGATAAAACCTCATAAGATGCCAAACGCAAACTAACCACATTCAACCACTCTTCGCCAATGTGTACTTCAGTTTAACCCAAAACAAAAAAATGTTGTGTTGTATATACTACTTTACAAGTACACAGATAATGTTTGAGGTCTGATTTAAAATAACTCGTGAATTATTAATATTTAAATAATTTTAATTTTAAATAATTACTTTCAAGATTTAATACTTTCAGTAGGGGCATTAATTTCATTTATGAGCAGTGAACTTTTTTTTTTAAGATTAATATTTTTGAAGTCATTTTTATCTATAGTTTTAAGCTTTTGAAATTCAAATGAAAAATAAACACGGTTTCATAATGTAGAAGTTATTCAAATAAGCAAGCAATAAAAGGACAAGTTAATTTACGACAACAACATCTAGATGTATATATTTAGATTGCTTAATCTTATAAATGAAATTAAAAACTAATAATATATCATACATTAATAACTTTTTTGTTTTTGGAACTTTAAGTGATTGGGTAGCTTTGATGACTACCTTATTAGATTTAATGAAGTGACGAAGTGAGAAGGTTATTTTCATATAAAAGAAAGATAAGTAAATATTGCCCTTACAACCAACTGTATATAATTGCTAAGTATGAACCGCAAATTTTTAGGAAAAATATATAATTACTTTTATATGAATGTGAATTATATGAAGTCCAAAACAAGTGACAATTACGACACACATGCGCTGTTATATGCTTAGAAAATCCTAGTTATTGGACTTGCATTATTCAGTTGCTCACACATATCAGCTGATTTTTTTCTTTTAAACTTTTTTTCAAAGCAACAAAGTGAAGTTTAGTTGTTAATGTGTAATTTATAATAAGATTAATCATTCTTTCTCTTGTAGGTGGTTGCAAGTTACAACCACGACAATACAAAAATAATAGTATAAAATTTGAACTTAATTTCCAACAAATCACTCATTGCTGCTGCTTTTGTTTATGCATTGTTGTCCCATACATTATCACAGTATGCTTATAAATTCTGAAATGCTTTCTGAGTAAGATGATTTTCCAGCTTTTTTATTTATCACTAATGGGATAGCACCTCAATCATGGTATAAAGAATATAATTAAAATAAAAGACAATTATGATTTACATAAATAATATGATATGTTACTAACAACTTTTGACATATGGATTGTTTTATTCGGTCCTTTTTTTCCTACCTTTTCAATGAAAATCATATGTATTACACTCTTACTTTTTAGGGTAACGTTCTTTCTGTTCTTTTTTTAATATATTAAACAGTAAATAAAACTCGTTTGTTTCCATATAGTTGAAGATAAATATTAATAATAAATTCTTCAATATAATTTCTCTAATGTACTCTTAGTTGTTAATTAATATAATAAAAAAAAGGTTTTACTATTGAGTGTGAGATAATGTGTTTTTTTTTTAATTATAGATTAATTACTTTTTTCTTCTTTAAAGTTTGCTTCATCTCCCAATGTCACCTTATATTATCAAACTAATTACATTTAAATCAGTTTACGTTATACTTTTTCTGTCTCTGAAATCTCATGTACTTGTATTCCCAAATTAATTACTTTACAAATCCCCGTATTATATACTATAGTGGAATATATTCTTTGAAGGTGACTTAACTCTTTAGTATACTTTTTCCGCAAAGAATGACAGTTTCCATTCTTAATTTTTTATTTTAATTCTTTTGAAATAATTATATATATTTTTTGTAAGCTTAATTTTTTTTAATATATATATATATATATATATATATATAGCATACTTAGTGTGAGAGAAAAATCTTAACATGAGAGGTTAAAAAAAGTAAGTCTTAACCATATAATTATACAAAAATAGACAAGATTAAAAGTATATTAATAATCACATGATCATCAATATTTTTTTAAAATTTATAATTAGATCGATGTAATGCATAAAATTTACATCTCACTCTCACAATAAAATTCCTCTCATTCAATACATTTGCTATATATGTGTATGTATAGTTCAATGTGAATTAGTTAGGTAACTTTTTTAAAGTTTCTTGTCTTGCATGTTTGTCTTTTAATTTATATTTAAAAAATTTACTTGAATTTAAGAATATTTATGGGATGTATGAGATAATTATTAATTTGTTTTAACAATAAAACTTTGATATTTACATTATTTAAATTTGTTATAAAATTTAATTTAATCAATGTAACTATTTAATTATATGATATTATTTTCATAGTTACATAGACTATATTTTAAATAAATTAAATATTTATAACTATATAATCCTATTGTTAGCATAGTTTTTGTATGAAACCCGTATTTAGAATCCAACGTGACCGTTTAAACATTGTCTTTGGTCTTATTATTAATATTTATTTGTATTTTAAAATAAAGAATTAATTTATATTTGTATGTTAACTTTTTTAATGAAATTTTCAATATTATAGTTAGAAACATAAGATCAATGACCCTAAAATTTTATTAGGAGAGTAGAAGTTGTATATTCTTTTTAGCAAAAACTTTATTAGTAACGTAGAGTTGTTTCATAATCAACTCAAACGTTCTAAACAATTATTAAAAATAAAAAATAAAAAATAAAAGAATTATATTTTTTTACACAGTTTGATTTGATTTATAGTTTTCATTTTTTAAAATAGAATAAAATCGAACTGAACTAACATTCTAAATTTATATTAACTTTGCCATTAAGTTCTTATATAAGTACTAACCTAAAATGTGTTGTTTTGATTTTTGATTTGTAATTTGAACTAAGTTGTGATTTAAAACATGATTTAATATAATTTTAACATTTTTTTTCATATTTATTATTTATTTAATTTTTTATTCAATAAATGTTATCTCTTAAAAATAAAAAACTAATAAACGAAAAAGATTATATAATTATTTAAGACTTAATTTATATTTTAATTAATTAAATTTTATTTATTTAATAACTAAAAAAATTAAAATACTATCTCTTAAAAAAATAGCAAGGAAAATATCAAAATAATCGATTCAATCAAACTACAAAAGATTGATTTTGTTTGTTTTAATTTTATTTTTATTCTCAAACTAATTCAACTCAAACTGTAAGCACCCAATTTAATAGGCCAAATTTATGTGAGACTAGTTATATATACTACATATTTTTGTTCCTAAAAATAAATTATGTATTAGAAAAAGTTTTTAAACATTCCTAATATTTTTCAAGTTAGTAAGATAAAACTATAATAAAACTTGTTCATGAAATATATCATCACCAATAACATAATAGAGTCCTATTATCTAGAACATCAAGGGTATTTATTAAAAAGTAATAAACAAAAATGTTGAAAATTATGACAAAAGTGTATTTACTTTTTAATTTATTTTTCTAAATTAAAGTGTTAAGAGTACTAATTCAATATTACGAAAAAAGTTTCATTTTCTTGTTTCTATTTTGATACCAAAAGTGAAAGAAAAAAGCAAGAGCGATGAAAATATGGAAGGTGAAGAGCCGGGGAGCTGGAAGCATCATAGTGGACGTTGGCCAGCGGCCATTTTAGCGTATTTGGTAGTCCAAAGAAATAGCAAGAGACGGTTATAGTGGTGAAAACAACACATAGGAAAACGGAGTCAATTAACGACCGTGTTTTTCACCAGAAAAGAGAGAAATTTGACGGTCATTATTTATAATTAACATGTGAATTAATGAACAAATTTTCTATACGGACGGCGTTGAAAAGTATTAAATTCAATATATTTATTAAGCTTTTACATTTTTAATATAATAATTTTTTAAAATTTTTCATTATTTTTAATTCCTTATCATATTGCCATAAGTATACATTGAAAATAATCCAACAATGAAATTATCCTAGTGAAACTAAAGGCAATTGCTTCAAAAGAATTAAAATTTAAAATTAAAAAATAATAATGGAATTTGTCATTCTTTATGGAAAAGAATACTAAAGAATTAAGTCACCTTCAAAATAATATATTCCACTGCAATATATAGTATGTGGATTTGAAAAGTAACTAATTTGGGAATACAAGTACATGAGATTTCAGAGACAGAAAAATATAATGTAAAATGATTTAAATGTAATTAGTTTTATAATATAAGTTGACATTGGGAGATGAAGCGGAAGTTTAATGAAAAAAAGTAATCAGATTTGCAAGATGCTATAATTGCATATGAATTGACAAATGAAACTTTAATTTAAATAGATAGTGAATTAAATTAAAAATTAGTTACAGGGCTGCCGTATCTAAAGTTGGATATGAAACTTCTCGTTAGTACTTATTACAAGATAAAAATAGAGTTAAATTTTAATACGTAAAATTTCTCTTGAACTATTGTATAATCTTATTGCAACACCTTAATAAAATTTAATAATGTTGGCAATTAAATGACTTGTTAACTTCATTAGATGTCAACCATTTAAACGAAAATAAGCCTTTCTGTATTTTGATGTATCAAAATTAAATTCAAATGCTTTTTGTTATATACCAAAAATACTTACCATTGCGACTTAAATATATCCTACTTACATAATAATGATTGATTATAATAAAAATAAATTGTAAATTCAAACAAACTTTACTCGTAATCTAAAGGTTTTAATTTTGGAATTGCTACTTCAAGGGAGACTAGATCAATCCACCATCCTCACTAGATAATTTTTTTTTCCTAATTAATAATTAAACTGTATTTTATTCTCTAAAGTATGCATCATTTCCTTGAAGGAGCAAAATCACCTATAGAGATAACAGAAAAAAAAAATTGAGATTATTTTCTACCCATGTGTAATTGAGTACACGTGTTGGCAATCAGCGTTCCACATCCTACTAGTTAGTTAGTCTTGCACCAAATTCAATATTCCCTCCCAGAAAATTAATATATTAAACAACTATGCAAGGCACCCACAAACTCGACCAGGGTAAAATTTCATTGCAGGAGAATTTCATTTATATCACGGTATCTACCAAAGCTAATCTTACTAGGAAGAGATTTATTTAACATACAACACGAAACTATTACCAAATATATCACATATCTTAATAGATATCGGATGTCATAACTCATAACGTCAAAAACCCATGGCTGAACAAGGGGACGACGACTCAATTTCTCCCAATTTTTTCTTGTTAGACTTCTCAAACAGTCAGGGATGAGTTCATTTCATTCAGTATGCGGTAGTATCTATTGTACTCTGATGTGTTTTTGAAACCAGGAAGGAAATCTGTAAAGAATCTAAGAACTGCAGCAAGATGTTGGGAGTCATTAGAAACAAACGCAGCTTCCAAGAACAATGATGGCCGTATGGTATCCACCTGAAAATAATTCATAAAACTAATTAGCTTTGTACTTTTGAAATTTAATCAACATCATAAACACAAACCTAGCAATACTTCAATGTTCCCCAGTACGTTTGTCTCAACAGTACAACTATTTGAAGTCATTTTCGAAATTTGCTTTTGTACATCACATAGAATCCAAAACTAATCATTTACTTCAAATAACAATTTACATGAGTGTTACAAGATATATCAACATTTTGAAAATTACATTGTGTTTTATTCGTGAAAGTTCACATATCAAAATTACTACATTACAAATTTTCAAAGTATCTACCAGCACCATAATCTCCTCGACAATATCAACAACTTCGACACAATTTAGATGATAAATAGCTGCTCCGTGTAGTTTCAATGCAGTTAATAACCAAATTTCTGTGAGGGATAACCATTATATAGAAGTATAATTCATCCCAAAGGAGTGATGTGGTTTAGTTAGCCCTTTCAACCTGATAAATGAATTGGCAATAGTATCTTGCAGCGATGCAGAAATTTACTAGACTAGATTGTTTTGGGATGGGTCAGTTTACACTCTTGAGGTGTGGATATAACTGAGACACTTGCCCATGCGGGCAGTGTGCCGAACAAGGAAAGAACTTCAGGAGTTGGTAGGGCAATATGAGGAAGCCTTCGGTTATGGACACTCACTATTTCATGTCGTATTTGAGTACTTCTATGTAACAGTGAGGGCACTTACACAAATTATCCTTCTGAACGTGCAGGCAATGTTGGCTTAGGTTCTTAGAAGATTACAGGGTTTCAGAGGAATTTTCAGCAAGTATGTTAGGTTTTAAGCTAGGCAGTCCTAAGGTATTTTCTTCTCGGTTCAGGATGAGGTTCTATTCAAGGTCTGGCAGGGATTCCTGGGTCACTAACTATGGTGAAGTGTGACCTGCCATTCAATTAATACATAAGCCAAGTTTGGATTAACTTCTCAATAAGTACTTTAAGGAGTGAAAATTAAGTAATAAAATAAATCAAATTCCTCCCATAAGTTAAAATCAATTTATACTTCTCTATTATTTTAGAAGTTCTACCATTTAACTTCCCTAAAATTTGAGAAGTATAAATTGCTTCTAGTTTACCAAACTGGGCCAGTCAACCTTCAGATTGGCAAGCATGTTGCACTGCACGGCAGTGCAAGCTTCCTGATTGCCAGTTTAAGGGCTGCATAGAGGCAGCTACTGCAGGTTGATACTTGATGGTGACAAGCAAGAGTGTGAGTGGCAGTGGACAAAAGGGCATTTAATGAGAAACAAGATCAGGTCAGTGCAGGTGGTGTGGCCTAGCTAGATAAAGAGTCTGAGGCTTTGTCAACGCACTTCTGACAAAAGAACCCTTTTATCAAGATGATGAAGCCTTGGCACAGTTTTCTTTCAATAAAATTCTACCAACCCACTAAGGGAAGTTTTATACTGCACAGGGAGTCAGGCTCCCTTTGCAAGGTTGTTTACCTTTGCCTACTTTCATGTTTGTCTTCCTACTACCAGGGTAAAGCACTCAGGAGTGTAAGATTTCTGTCAGGGATCTGCAGCGCCGTGGGAAATCTGGAGGCACCTAAACACTACCCCATCAATGAAGGTGTTTGATTAGTTTGTGTTTAGAAACAGATATTTTATTTTTTAGCAAACGATTATCTTTGTCCAGATGCTGGGATAATAACCCATTAGTTAGAGATAATTGGATGAATGAAAATTCTACAGCAACAAAGCCAACAAAATCACGAGAAAATTGCAGCATCAGAGCCGTCAGTTTTTCATCATCTCTCTGTTTTCTTAATTATTTAAAAACCATACACAATTACTTCCTATATCAGCAGCCAATACAGTAGAAATTACCCTATATTTCCTTGCGTATCGCAAGGCTTCAAGGTAGTATCCATCCTGCACAAGCAGTAAAACATAATCGTGATGTAAACCAAGCTGTCTCAGCATATCAAAACCAAGCTTCCTAGTTTGGGCATTCTGACGACCAGACTCTAGGAGTTGTAATGCAACTTCCTTAGAGGGCTCCAGAATCTGCAACAAAAAGAGACTAGTCTGAGAGTCAAATTAATCATACTTTAACATATAATAGCCTCTCACCTTTACAATTATAATATATACAAAAATTGGTAACCTTGTTTATGACAAACAACCCAAGCTCTGCATATCGTTCATTGCGGGCCAGAAGTTGAATTATCAATACATATAGATTTGGGAGTACACGAATCTTTTCTGAAATTGCACTGCAACAATTAATAAAGAGCAAAGAGGAACACTGATTCAAAAGGTGGTAAAATTTATGATCCAATCAAGAAATAATAGCACATGAATTCCCATACATCCTTTCAAGTTGACTACTGGCCCAATTGACCTAATATATATTTACATGATATCTAAAATCAAGTCCTCAGTTGGCTTAGGCTTATCAAGCTGAACCACATTAAAAAGTTTTAGAAGTTTCAGAAAGTTTTCGGTTCTTTCTTGACTCACCTTTACTTACAAATTACGACATGTATTGTATTGATATTGATATTGTGAGTTTTGAAATAAAAAATGTAATACTTTCTGTTCTTACAACATCTATTTTAGTTTGACCTACCTTCAATATTAGTAGGAACAGGAAAAGAAATTAAACAAACATCACTGGAGTAATCAAGGCATTTCAGTTGTAGTTAACAGTTATTTAAATAGTTGAAATCATATAATTCACAACCATAAAGTGATTAGAAACTAAGAGCAAATCTATCAAATGCCTTCAGAATCAAAATAGCTTCCTAACTAAAGAGTAATAGCATACCTGTGAAGGAACTCAATAATGACTGCAACCAAGTAAGAAGGGTCTCCAACCATCTCTTCATCAATGGGAGAGAAGACAAAGCTGTACATCTCGTCTGGTGAAATTGCTGCAGAAGTAAGTTGGGATTCCTCTTGTCCAGACTGCAGAGATGATTGCATAACATCAGTCCTATGAGCTTCAGTTCTCATGGAGATCTCACGGTTCCCTTCACCCCCAACTTGGGCCACCTTTGAATTGTGTTTTGAATTTGCAGATTGGGACTCATCATCGGAATCCAAGCTTGAAACAGTTGAAGCCTTGTTAAAAGATCCACTGTCTACTCTTGTGGTTGGTTCATGTATGATAGATTTTCCAGTTACATCTGTTCCTATAGCAGAAACATCAGCACCTGCATTTTGTACACCAGCAGCTGTTGCCTTCTCTGGTTTCAGCCCTTTAAGATAGCTACCAGTTTTAATTGAATGGGAGTACGAGGAAAGTAGTACATTTATAGCCTTAGCAACTGCAGACACAGGCCTATGCTCCAGAATAAGTGTACGTGTTATACCCAAGCACAATTGTTTAGCCTAAAAGAGTAAATCACCGGTAAATTAATTTAAAGTTTCAAACCAAACTAGTGTAGATGAGAATACCATTAACATCTGTAGTTACACACTCATTAAAACCAGTTAAAAGAACATTTCAAGAGATATCAATGTAAAATCATTTCCTTAACGGCAAATTTTAGATGATAATTTTTTTCCATAATCACATTCCAGATTTCGAGTGACCCACATAAAGGATAACAGGGAATTCATAATTTTCATGTTTAGCAAGAAAATTATAAGGCATCCCCAACTCGCAAAAGAAAACTTTAATATAATCATATCTAACAATCTTGATTCTTGAATATACAGCAATGAATCCCCTTACTTCCATAATTGAAAAATAGTAGTATAACTTTTACAGGCAAAGCAAATAAAAAATATTCCTTTTCAAGGGTAGATGATACTGATCCTTTCTAACACCTGTCATATCCAAGTAGGATTCTCAAATGCCTATTCAATGCACTCTAGTTCTCACAAACAATTATGCATTTTGTCCTAGTATATGAGAGATACTAAACTGCAATGGACCCCCTAAAATGACTAAAAAAAATTTCTACAACTTTTAAACCAGCTAAAAGAAATAACAGGTAACTTCATTTCTAGGAGCACAAATTACTAAACCTAATTCATCATTTACAGAAAGGAAGAAAAACAACTAAATAAAATAATGGATACATTAATTGCATTAGTTATGCTAACGCTAGGGTGCATAAAAAGAACTTAATGCAGAAAGCTATGCCAAAGGAAGACTGAGGGTGGCTAAAACACACCATCTTTGGGCAAGTAAGTTTACTTTAAGATCCCAATCAACATATATATGAAATCAGCTAACTAATGAATATGTACTTATGTAGCAGCAACTCCTAGACATAAAGTGCTCAATACACATTTGTGGTCACTGGCACAATTCCAGCATCAAACTAACTAACAGGAAACTGACTTATACTGAATTAAAAACAAATACGCAATAGCAACTGCTGCCCTATAGCACCCTGAAGAATTAATCAATAAGCATTGTCATAATAAAGTGGGGGTACCTTGTTAGCTTCCAACTTCCGCCGCTGCAGGAACTCTATTAATGATGGGACCTCTGAGCTACTAGCAGAAATTGCCTGCAAGATAGGATTTTTCATGAAAAAGAAGCCACCCAAATTCAGCACTGACACATAAATGAACATAATAGCTTACCTCTAAGTCTATATAGAACTTCCACAATAACTTATTGGCCACATCACATACGAGGTCAGGCACTAGGAAAGTCCATGTATTGGCGTAGGTAACTGCTTCAGGATTACTCATAACATTACTGCCTGAACTCTGACTTTCTCTACCACTAGATTGAGATAAAGTGCTGGACCTGGGGAAACCCCTTAATAATAAAGGAAGTGGTGCAGATATTGGTGCTCGAGAATCTGCAAAGAGATCATAAAGTATAACAACCTTTGCATCAACTTGATGAATAAGAAGTACATTGTCGACCACACTCACAGCAATCTTGCTGGAATAAATTGGTAAAGAACCCTGCAAATATCATGAATTATGAATATCAGTCTCATTTTCTTAAGTCTATAGTTCAATGGCAAAATACTCAACTACGACTATCAGATGAGATCCATGGTTAAATTACATATCCTACGTGGCAATATGTTATTTATGTACATAGTTAAAATGCCTTTACAAACTTATGAATTACTACTATAAAGGGGTGACTGAGTGCATGAGGCTCCCACCAAGTGGAGTTCCTAGGTTACATGTCACAGCCTTATCCCTGTTCCCCACAATCGTAGAGGCTGTTTCTAGGATTTGAACCAGTGACCTTTAACTCACAAGATAACAACCATACTCGTGTGTCAAGGCTCACTCTCTCTAAGAATTACTATAAGGACGTTAAAAAAGAAACTACCAAATTTGAAGGTTTGAAATTAATTTTAATCAATTTGAAGAAACATAGTGATATTAAGATACACAAATAAGTCTTACTGCTTCTAATTAGCAAGTTTCTGAAAGTATAAAAATTTAATTCTTGATATTTCTTATTGAGTTATAACTTATTGCAGATTGTTTGCCTATAAATAAATCATACAATGAACTGGTACTGATTTTTACGTACATTTTATGTTAATAAAAAATGTCTTACCAAATGGAAAAATAAACCCAAGATTGTGAAGTCACAATCACAAATACTCCTTGCATCTTTATAAAATTTTATTTGTTAAAAAAGATATACTATAAATGATGTCACAATATCACCAAAGTAAAATAGAGGATATCATATTCTTCACAGAAAATTGGCATTTCTTCAGAAGTTTTTTTGAATGTTGTTCAAAAAAGAAATTTTGGAGTGAATTAAAATAGTAAACCAACCTGCTGTATCACAGCATCACGATATAGCCTATAAGAGTGGAGTAGCATAGCAACTCTATCAACTTGCAAGCAGTATATCCTACCATAACTGTGATTGATAGTAAAGGAAAATAAAAGTTTCAATTGGCAGCTATGTTAATTATAAACTATAAAGGTCTAAGTTTGATTATGTAAATAACTGATACATACACAGTGACGATAAAAACGTCTTCAGCTGCTAAAACGGGCTTATTATTTGCCTCAGATTTGGCCATAACCATCTCAAACCTTGGCAAGCGAACAATATCTGCAGATGAAATCTAACCAAAAATGCATTGCTGTATCAGCCAAATGAAATAACACAGAAGCAATATCAGTGGCTATGCTACATTCAAATACCGGAGTCATGACAACTATTACAGAAGCTGCATTGATATATGTCATTCTTTTCTGAACAATAATGATATCTATTTCTATTTTAAAACATCAATAAATAACTATTCTTCCTTGAGGTACATATATTCTAGATCCATAAATTACAAGAAAAGAAGCTACAAGTAACCACTCTCACCTGAAATCCATGGAATGTCTTGCATTGCATTCCAGAAGCAAGAAGAACCAGGCGACTTTCATGTGTGTAAACATACCAACTCACATTCAGTTTCTTTGTTTCCACCAGTTGCAGTGATTTTGACTCTGAATTATATGCATACAAGTCTAGACCACTGTTGAGAAATTTTGTAATTTAGTAAATCTTTCTCTTCAAAAATGTGAAAAAGAAGAAAAAAGGAGGAAAGGGAAATACTTGGGGAGTGGTATCATGTTTACAACAGTTTAATGTACTATATTAGAGCATTACACAACAAGTAGGACAAAATTATTTTTCAGCATTGTTATGTTTACAACAAGGAAGCACAAGACTCTAATAAAAAAAAAATTCATTTTGTTTTCTTTCTTCAGTTGTAATCTGAGGATATTAGTTCTTGGAATTGGCTCTTTACCTTATATTAATCAATTTCTGCCCAAAAGAAAAAATATCTTCACCCAAGACAATCCAAAAAATAAAACAAAAGCGAAGGTAAGAAAAGTAGGAGAGAGGCAAGTGCCACAGATATTAATGTGGGAAGGGAATTTAGGAAACACAACATTTGGTAAAAAATAAAATAAAAAATTTGATTCTGCTGATTTGACCCGGTTCCACACTAACCCAACATAAAAATCCCGGAAATGTACTTTTAACCCTTTTGGCCTCTGTTTTCAGTCTTAGCTATGTCTTTCTCTCTCACAACAACCTCGCATCTCCCTCTCTCACCTTTCCTACTTCCGACAACCCTCATTTTTCAGTGAGCAGGTTTTACTTTTGGTTGCTTTTGTTTTATCCTCCTTCATTCTGTTTTACTTTTTCCTTCTCTACATTCCTCCTCCACTCTCTCTCTTTTCATTCCTTTTTTTCTGAATTTCTTTCTCTTCTCAGATTGCCTTCTCATTTTCTTTTCTCAAATTTCCTTCTCTGTTTTTCATCCATTTTTTATTCTAACACTGCTGCCTTGGTTTGAGACTTGAGCAGCAGTTTTCCTTAACATAGCCTAACAACAAGCTTCCTCAATTAGTCTTTTTATTTTCCTTGTTTTTTTATCACTTTGTTTCACTTGAGGCTTGTGGCCTTTAGTTTGTATTGAACTTGTGCTTTGAACTATGCTATTATGTTATTATGAGATCCTATTATGAGAGATATGATGCCATTTGATGATTTTCTATCAATTATATTTCTTGATTTTGACAAAAGCAGTTAGATTTTTGGTTTTATATCACATTATTCTGTTTTATATATATAATTTTGTAGATATAATATATTATTTAATTATGGCTGTCATGCTTCCACCACAAGTTGCCATGGTATATGCCATAATTTCCTGGCAGTTTTTTGACTAGGAGTAGCTTTTGCTGGATCTCCTCTGAATTTAACAACCAGGATATATAAAAAAAGGCATCATTAAACAGTGTAAATCATATCAACAAAGAAGAAATAAATTTGCTTACCATACCTAGTCTTAACAAGAACAATATCACACTGTTGACTATCTGTCCAAAAAAATCCAAGTATACTTTCTGATTCTGGCCGGCAATTATGGCTAAAAGCTTCCCCAGTCTGTCTATTCCAAAACTGTATCTCATGGTTCGATCGTTGGATTGCTATTACCTTTGTGTCTAAAGAATACCGAATAGCTACAATAGGGCCTTCACTTATTAAATCAGTGGTGGGACCAATGAGAGGATCAAAGGGGCCAACTTTCCAGGAAAAGATCTAAATATTACAAACAGAATGTGATTTGAGAGGAACAAGGAAGTATAAAAGCAAGCAAAAATAATTCATATTTTTACAACTATTGAAAAAGGGGTCCATATTACAGACAAACAATACTCTTCACCAAACAACAAATGCATGAAGCACATCATATTACCTGATCAGCTGTGGGGGAGAGTAGCAACTTATTTCCATCATCATAAAATATTCCGATTGATTCAGGAACATTGCACCGCAGTGGTGGATACTGAGTGTAAGCATGTGAAAGACCATCAGATCCGCTCAGACCTATATTAGGCTTTGAAGTTGATGCTCTTCCAGACATGTTGAGTCCTGTTTACAGCATGAGCGGTAGAGGTATGAATATGATACAACTGGAGCAAACCTCCCAAAAATATATAATCTGGATAGTCAAAGGTAGAAGTATGCATCTACAATTATCAGCAGATATAAGCGCTGAAGGTTATACCTATGCTGGAAAAAATACGTAGGACCTTCCACTTATTCTTGTGACTGAAAACTTCTACAAAAAACTGCTCTTCGTAACTTTCAAGCTTTCTAGTTTGTTTCTTCAGTAGCCCAGAACAAGGAAACAAGTGGATGTTCACTAAACCTTCTTTTTGAGCTGTTTGAAGCCATATAGATTTTGAAACACGAGATATTTATTAGAAATGCCAAAAGAAAGGTAACAATTATACCGTAGACACCACCGAATAGTTTTATGTTGACACGGAAATACAAAATGATTATAATAAAAAACAGTTTCTAACTCTCAAAAGTCCAAAGTCATGATCAAATTAAGGGTCCAGTTGTTTAAGTTCAAAAAAAAGTGATTATGTGATACATCTATTTTAGAGCATTTTTTTAGAAGCTATTATTCTTAACTCCTGACAAAAAACACTTCTAAGAGGTTTTTGCTTTTGTATTTTTCTGAAACACTTACATAATAATTATAACTTTTTAAAAATATTTGTCTTATTAAATAAGCACCTTTTCTTCAAAAAAAATAAATAAATCCAACAAACAGGCCCCAGATGATGTTTGCATAAAGGTTTCGCTTCAGTCTTTCCCGAATGCTGCTTAAACAGAAAAACACTGAAAGTAACTTATTTTTATTATTATTTAAAGTGTAATGAAAAGAAAATATTTTATAGCTGAAATGCCAAGCCAGAATAAAATAAAAAACTTTATTCCAAGCGAATTGTAGAATTCAATACCATATTCTGCATACAACTTTTTAATGCCAGAAATTCCTTCACACACACATCACGTTCAATGTCTGGAACCTTTGCTGCAATACAGCTCCCGTATGCCTTTGCCTATTAGATGAGTTCTTAACCAAATCAATGTTTATGCACAAATATCAAACAATAATAAGGATAAGAAAGAGAGAACATATGAGAAAAGGCAAGCACCTATTATAAAACCCATTCCCTCCCCTTCCCAACACCCTCATGCATCAATCGTAACGTATCTAACTAAATAAATTAAACTCGGTTTGAGTGAAAACAATAAAATCAAGTTAACCATTAACTTGAAGGTACTCACAAGTTATATTAATTACACTGTATATGGAATCCAAGCATAAAAAACATGTAACGAAAAGACTGTGCACGCAATTTCACTATGTAGCCCAAAACCAAAATCTCATTCCTGGCTCTCTATGAAAAATAAAATCAAACCTGAGATGAACAATTCACTAAAATGCGCTTGAGAGTTGAGGCAGTATTCTTCTTTTCCTTCATGTCCACAACACTGCAAAATATATAGAAGCCACCTTTAAACGACAATCAACTGTCGCTAAACAAATAATAAAATAAAACAAAATTATAAACATTTGAAAATTGCAAAGACGCTTAAATTTTACTTATAACAACAACAACAATAATAATAGTTTAATTTGAATTTCTAGAATCACATGGATTTTTACAACGGGGAGTTTCAGTAAATGAGAAGATCAAAACCCCTATGGTACCTTTGTCCCAAATTGCTAACAGGTATAGTCTAGCGAAAATATTAGAAATTGAAAAGCCTACCAGGTGAAGAAAATCGAGAATCTGCATAAAGCGTATGCGTGTAGAGTGCGAAGAGAAAACAGCGGAAATGTGAGAGAGAAATGAAGGAGGTTTATTTACCATCAAGAATCGGTCATATGCATTCTGCAACAGAATTAATAGCAGATCACGAAGCGAGTCTCTTCTGTTTATTCATCTTCTCTATTCAATTCATAGTAACGAACAAACCACAATGCTGCAGTGGAACTACCTACCAGTCGCATTACTTGCGTGCCCAGTTGCAGCTACACTATTTGCATCTGTTCTTCCTTTCTTCTCCGCTGCACTCCTTTGTGGGCCTAAAAAGAGAGCTTGTATTTGGGCTCAGTCTGGTATTGTATAGCCCAATAAACGAATTAGCCTGTCCAAACCAATACGTTAAACCTACAACCAAAAATGGACCTAAAAGTATTTATTGGTCCAAATTAAAGAAATTTGACTTCTGAGCAAAAGAAAAATGATTGACTCTGATTGACTTTTTAAAATTTTGATAGTTTGGTAAAAAACAAAAATTGAATAGTGTTAATGGTATAATTTTATACATTCTTTCAAATACTTTTTTTTTATTATTGAATGAAATTACTAAAAAAAATATAAAATCATGAATAAGATTCATTAAATAAAGAATGACACATATATAATTTTAACTAATAATAAATAATGTATTTAAGAGTGTTACTAACATTTTTATTTTAAATTTATTAAGCTCAACCCAGCAAATAATGGGTTATACTGGGCCTCTCTCAAAAGTTTGCATTTATTTTTCTTTACGATACATGAATAGAAAATGAGGAAAATTTTTCCATTAAAGATTAATGAAAAAAAAAACAGAAAATATATCAATAATGAAAATTTTAAACCAATATACCAACATTAGTTAATTGCTGTATTTAGAACTGAATTCTGAAATTTTGTTCTCTAAAAGGAGAAATTAATACAAGAATGAATTGCAAATAGGAAATCGCAAACCAACCACACCAGTGCTAATAGAAGGGACTCGTGGCAATGTAGCCTAGGAAACATCTTAGATATTGTTTTCCTAGGAAGCCAGGTAGCAAATTACACTATATTTGTTTCTGAGGCCATAATTGTTAAGGATATTGAGCACATAAACACAATTAGCTAGCAATATACCATCCTCGTCTCCAATTTTATGAGGAGAATTGTCTATTGGCTCATGACCTAGTATGGGGGTGTTCTTAATCATCTTTATATTCAACCAGAACCACCAATAAAGATATATAGCATATATGCTATGTAATTGTTTTCCCTTAAACTTAGATTTACAACTTCTTCATCTTTATATTGATCCAGCCGTAAGTAAATATCTAAAAGAATTTGATGGCGATTTTGTCAGTCATTTCTGATATTATCCCTAAAATATGAATGGAAGGAAAGTCCTCCCAAAGGGAAAAACTGCACCCGTTTTTCATTCCATTTGAACTAATATACATTAGTGGCAGGGTTGCGACACAGTTTTAGTCCATAGTTCCTTGATTTATTAGAAGCTTCCAATCAATTAAAAATGTATTACTTCGGTTAATCTTATTGATTTCTTAAAAATGATATTAATCATATAACGATGGAACAGTCCACACAAAAGCCATTAATATCAAAGACCTTTCGGCCTCTATTGACTTGTAAATCGTCGTGCTGCATAGGTAACAGTCCATTAGGAAATGCATGATGATTATGATAACGAAGCTCGCAACTAACTTGCCCCTATGTCATATCTTTCTTATATGTCACCTTTTTCAAGTAAACAACATAGATACACTTTAAATGATTTTGATCATTTTAAGTTTTTTTATTTCTTTAAACAGTTAATAATAATAAAATTTTATTAAAAACAAAATATTTATAACACTTTTGTAGCTCTAATGTAATAAATATTTTGTTTTTTTAATAAAATGTTACTACTTGTAGATGCTTAAATTTAACCATAATAAAACTGAATTTTAAAAGGAAAAAACCACTTAGATGAATTATACACCTCAAAAAGATTATGAAGAAAAGGTGTCTCAATTTTTTTAAAGAAAAATATCCTTACAATATGAAGATGGAACATAATTTTAGTATAGTATTCTAGCTGGTTATGATTTTTTTCATGGATTGTACTTCATTTAGCTTTACAGTTCTGAAATGCATTATGATGTATGTGTAGTCTATTTGTGGGGGTTAGGAAGATGGATGCTTTTGTTTCACCCACTTTCCGTCAAAGGGCCCTACACTATTAAACGTTTAAGAAAAGGTCAACAAGTTAATGTGTGGAGGAAAGGCATGGAAGAAGATAAAAGCACAGGGCACGCAATAGAGGCAGCTTGTTTAGGACCACTTAAAAATGCCAGAAGACAAGGCACAGTCATAGAACAGAGAAAGAACACTGGTTTTCAATTAAGCCTAGTATGCTGCATTTGGCCTATCAAGTACATTTTTATCTCTTTATTTCAAATTTTCAATCACATACATAAAACATATATATTTATGTACGTACATACATGGACAAATCTACCACGAGAGTGCAAGTGCAGTGACACAAAATGAAATTTCAAGTGGACTATGTGTAATTATGTTACATACATGTAACAGGAAAAAAATTGTTAGTGCCAAATGCAGACATAAACGAATTTTACTCAGAAAGGGAAATGGCAATGTAAACCAACGAAGAAGCTGGCAGCCCTTGTCAATTGACACATGAGAATGATGCTGTCGGGATTATGATCTTTTACCAAGAACAGTAATCTTATCTCAATTAATTAAGGTGATGGAATTTGATGCTAATGATTTTATTAGTTGGAATCCTAATGTCAGGCAAGGATATAAAGATAAAACTAGAAAAGCTATGCATTTTTGTTTTCTTCTGTAGTTGATGAGAAAACAAATATAAAAATCATGGTCACTATAAAGATTTAGGTGTCATTGAATTATGCATAGAATAATAATAATGATAATGATAATGACTATATTGTTACTAGTTAATATAAAATAATTCACAGACCTTGAACACTTTCTAGTGTCAACATCTTGAATTATGGATGTGGACCAATTTTCTGTCATTGAAGTAAATGAAAGGAAACATCATTCATGTGAACATCGTTAACTTACAACTACCAAATGCAGATACAATTCTGGACTACTTTTAATGTCAAACTCAAAGAACATACAAATTTGAATGATTTTCTATCTCTCTCTGTCCTCTCTGCCTCACATGATCTGTCATAAACAGCGACAACGACAAAGGCGGGAAAGTTACTTGGGAAGTCTGTAAATTATTTTCCATTTTATTTGTTTTGACAAAGATACTCAAATTTATTGTGTTTACGCAGAATTTCGGTTATTTTTATAAGAAATAAAAAAAATTAAATTATTAAGACTAAAAAAATAATTAAATTAATTATGTTTTTCATAAATATAAATTTTATTTTAAAAATATCTATAATATTAAATAGTGTAGTTAGTAATATATATATTTAATAATACTAATAAAAGAAGAGTATAAAAAAAATTTAACAATTAATGTATCTTGAATCTATCATTTATTTTTTTATAATAATAATTAAAAATATATTCTATTTTATTTCTTATTAAAAAAATCGAAGAAAGTACTAAACTTCTTAAAACTATTACGTGAATTTTTTTTATTTTAAGTAAGTTATATTTTTATCTTTTAAAATGTGCATATATTACAGTATTCTCTCTTCACTTTTTAAATTTTCTTTTTTTAAAACACTTAAAATGCATAACAATTTAATTTGTTTTAAATTTTTCGTTAAAGTACCGTTGAACACGTTTTACATTTTTTACTGAAATGTTTTTTTAATAAATTTACACCTTTATCATTTTTTTAAAAAACTCAACAATGTCAGTGTATTTTTCATAAAAAAAAGTATACATTTATTAAAAAATTATTTTAGTAAAAGTAAATTAGGTTTTTAATAGTATTTTAATAAAATATTTAAAATGAATTAAATTATAATATATTTTAATTTTTGGGGGAGGAGGTTATATGATTTTAAAATAGAGAGGAGAGTTGTGTAATACATATATCTTTGAAGGGAAATGAAAGTAATCTACTTTACAATTTTTATATTATTTCATTAAAAAATTCATGTGAAATTTTTTTCTTAAAAATATTTTAATTTATTAATTCATTAAATTTCATTAACCTTTTATTTATTTTATCTTTATACTTTTTAACCTTTTGTTTTTTTTCCTTATCATTATATATTTTGTATTTTTCAAAATTAAATTAATATCAAGTGAATTTATAGTTACTGAATAAATAATTTATTCTTTTTCTTTAAGTTTATCATTAATACTATAGAATAGTTTATAAATATTATTGAAGATATTTTACTAAAAGTGTCACATGATATTTTTTTAATTTACTGCATGCTTTAGTAATTTATTTATTTTATTTTCATTTATTTATTGAAACTAATTTTATTTGAGTTAAATAATGTTACTAGAAATAATAAAATTATTCTTTCGAGTACCTAAGAGTAGAAATTGAGTTAGAATAACTCTCTATGATATACATGCTCAATAATAATACTTTTAATAATTTAACTTATATTATAAAATCTGGTTCATAAAATAAGTGTTTGAAACTTGTTTAATAGTAGGAGGGTTAGATTGATACGAAATTTGAAAAATTAATTGGTATTTATAAGGCGCTTATCAAGATATTAATGGAAGGTCAATGATTTGGTGCTAGTTGAAGGCATGATTGATGGTTCTCTTCACATTGTAATTACGTGTGAAATCAAGACACAGGAACCGCAAATCTCCATCAATAGACTGATGACCAGCCACTCGTAATTCATCAATGCATATCCAATCCATATAAATTAATGGAAACTTCTGTGAAACATTTAGAAATGGGAGTCAATGAAAGGATGTTCTCATGCATTTCCGTTTCATTTACAATCGTGTCATGAATAACCGTATAATATGATACTAATTTAGTCTTAGTCAACACATATAAGATATGCAACTATTTACCGCATTAGTTTTGTTGATGGTTAAATGTAAATAGGATAAATTATATTTAATCTCTAATACTCCTTTCCACGTTGTTTTTTATATTTCTTTACGAGTGTTTTGTTAGGTCTTAATTCTTGTTATCTATATTTAGTTTTTTGTTATCAATAATGTTAAATTTTTTTAAAGTATAATAATTAATTCATAAATAATTATTAATTATAGAGATTAAATATATATTTTAATAAAAATTCATAAATTTATTTTAAAAA